GGGGGGCTGTATGTGTGTGTGTGTGTGTGGGTACAGGTGCACGCGCCGGAAGGTGGTACGCTGCGGATGTTGACATGCCATGCTGACAAACTCTATATGATTATTCTAATCACAGATCCCTGAACGGAACCGGCATGGTACTGTTATTAGACCATACAGTAGGATCACCAGACCGGGCTATGGCATCACTGGATTATTGGACATCACCGGGCAAAGGATCAAAAGAATGGTAAATCATCGGACCACAATGTATCGTTTTGCAGATACAAAGGCACCTACCTACTACCGGTGGACGAGCCCTTGTGCTTTATCCACCGGCACGGACAGACGTACGTCAGCCAACTCTGCATTCTACTGAAGATCCATGCCAACTGCCAACTCCACTGAATCACTCAATCAATCACTCGATCAATCAATCAATCAATCAATCAATCAATCACTCGATCAATCACTCACTCACTCAATCAATCAATCGATCACTCAATCACTCACTCACTCACTCACTCAATCAATCAATCAGTCAATCAGTCAATCAGTCAATCAGTCAATCACTCACTCAATCAATCAATCAATCAATCAATCAATCAATCAATCAATCAATCAATCAATCAATCACTCACTCAATCACTCAATCACTCAATCACTCACTCACTCACTCAATCACTCAATCAGTCAATCAGTCAATCAGTCAATCAGTCAATCACTCAATCACTCAATCACTCAATCAATCAATCAGTCAATCAATCAATCTATCTACCTACCAATCTAACAATCAATTGCTCAATCGATCAATCAATCGGAAAAGGGCACCATAAAACAATAAGGAGGGCAACAGATGAAAAGGAAAAAGACAGAGCAACCAAGTAAGAAATAGACCGAGCAATCGACCAAAGATACGATAAAGCAAAACCCAATCTCGCAGTCAACCAAACGAAAAAGCAGCACAGAATCAATCAAGCCAGAATTACAGACGACCCAAAAACGAAGCCGAGGGAGAGAAAGACGTAGAAGTAGGAGGAGGAGGAGGAGGAGGAGGAGGAGAAGGAGAAGGAGGAGGAGAAAAATGGAAGAAAGGATTTGAAGGTCTGCGACAGCCAACATGAGGAAAAAGAGAAGATCAGAGTCAGAGACGAAGAAGAAAAGAAGAAAGAGAGGAAAGAACGCAAAGGAAAAGCTGCAAGGAGGAGGGTTAAGAAGGAGAAATGAGGAAAGTAGGTTCTTCAACCAACGCAAAGTGAGTTGGGATGAGAGTAGGTCGCAGAAGAAGAATAAGACGAAAAAGAAGGTGGAAAAGAAAGAAGAAGAAGAACAGCAACAAAAAGAGGAAGGAGGTGAGGCCCTCATCATTCACCTGGCCGGCAAGCAGGGATCGGGATCTTCAAAACACGTGTCGTGAAAAGGAGGCCGGATGGTTTCTTCATAAAAACAAAAACAGAAGGAAAAAAAAAACAGAAAAAAAAAAAAAACAGAAAAAAAAAAACAGATGTGTTTGGAATAAACAAGGATGACCACGTGGAAAGAAGACAAAAGACGTCCACGTGGAAAGAAGACAAAGATGTCCACGTGGAAAGAAGACAAAGATGTCCACGTGGAAAGAAGATAAAGATGTCAAATTGAAGGGGACAGAACCATCAGACGCAAGGCGGACACGAAAGAAAGAAACGAAAACAGACCAGAAAGAATAAGGCATAAGAGGAGCGGAGAGATCTTTCATCATGCCTGCCAAGCGGAAGGCTCATCGAAAATCATCCAGTTCGTGACGCCAAGAGAAGAAGAAGAAGAAGAAGACCCAGAAGAAGAAAAACCAGGAGAAGAAGCAGAAGAAGAATTGCTTTGAGATGAATATGGCGAGGCCAACTCCCCCACGTGTCCATTCATAAACAGATTGTGAATATCACATCTGCACGGACATAGTCAAAGCTCCAAGAAGAAGAAGAAGAAGAAGAAGAGTGGAAAACAGTGGCCAGCTGCCTTTCGTACACGCATCGAAAGCTCTTCATTACAAAGCCGCACATACTCGTCTCAGCTCTCGTGCACAATCCCCGACGTGTTTCGATCGGTTGCGCTCCGATCATCCTCAGGGGGCTATCCTCATTCCCCGCCTTGCGGCACCACCGTCTATCCTCCCATCTTACTGAGTATAGAGGACCGATACGGCCTTGTCCTCCTATATGCTGTCCATCGAGTAGTCATCCTAGCATGCACGGTACTCCCACCCCAACGGGCACTTCCACAAGCGACTACAGCTACGACTGCCTTGCCGTATAGACGTTATATCGAGCTCGGTGAGAATCAGTTATGTGTCAGCCCCTCAACGGGCCGCAGATAGTCAATCCACGTAGGTTTGCAATCCTCGACATATTATCTACACCTAAGGACTAGTTTTCGCCGCATGTATCACATGTACGGGGTACTATGCTGGCTAGGCGCACTCCTAGTCTTTCCAACGTTCATATGCCTCCTTCGATTCCTACACCTTAATTCCTATTGGACTGATCCGTGTCGCATGGATCGCAGGCTCTATCCCTATTACATGGCCCGGTTCAGTCAGTTACACACATGCCGTGTGCGACTTTTTCAAATTCAAACTCGCCATGCAGTCCGAATTCCCGCTTCAGAGATTAGGCGGGTACTGTCCAGTAGCACCGTGACTCCGATGCCTAACTGGCAGTGGGGTCTGCCACCAAAATAAACGGTGCCACGTGCGCCTAAAGTTAAAAATTCAAATTCAAATAAACATCCAACCTTTAATTTACAAGATACCCTAGGAATTCCTATCTCGCCCGCTAGCTTTTTTAATAAAGTCCTACGCAAGCCGTTTGAGAAACGGGCCTCCAAAATATCCTATGGTGTAACATCTTACTGCTAATTACGCGGCCAATTTTTAAATTGAACGGCAGAACCGGTCTACTGCAAAATTTTCCACCCGCTGCTCAGACAAATCCTACTTTAATCCCTAATTTCGAAAAAAATCTCGCTACAATCCAAGCAAATTCCGTAATTACGGTGCCTGGTTCAAGGCTGCATTCGCCACAAAATTTTCGGTCGCGCACTGTTATCCCAGTGTACCAGGTTCTCAAGTAGCCTCATCCAGGGCTCCTTCAAAACTCCAGTGCCCTTAGCAAATCGTGCTAGGGCTTTGAAGAAGAACGCCGGGGGGTATCCCCGGCGTGAGAGCTCGTTCTTTATTGCTAGAACTGGTAAGATTAGCGTACTCTCGTTGTTCGCCATTTGTTGGATACGGCAGAGACTGCCGATCACAACCCCGATCTTCGCACGCTTGTCGGAGTAGGAGTCAAAATCCAGGAAACATCGATGAGCGAGTTTCTGCCGCACTCCTCCCATCTGGCTCCTCAGTTCATTCTTGACCTTAGGTTCCATGAGGAACTTGGTTTTTCCTGGCACGTTCGTAATCCTTGCCCCAACGAATTCGACGGTGTTAGATCCGTCATCTGTACGGACTAATGATAGCTTATCCCCGTAGCAGTCCGGAACTTCTCCATTATCTCCAGCGCCTTACTGACTGACCCTCCTTTCCTTCTGTTGAATGCAACTGCCAATACCGCATCGTCCATGAACCTTACTCCATGGACGAGCTTGCGGTCACTTCCAAATGACTTCAGGAACACTCCTTCGTACTTTGCACATAGCAGGCAAGCCAATGGTGGGCTGGAATTCCTCCCCATTGGTACTCCAATGACTTGTCTGAACAGCTTCCCTCTACACTTGGTGTAGCTGTGCTGCAGTTCGAAGCTTACAAAGCTCCGAATAAAACTGAATGGGAACTTAACGTAGCCTTTCCCAAACAATTTCACGCCGAGGAAAACCTGCTTTCTTCTTTTGCATACCGTCTCCCATCCGCCCAACAACCAGGATAAGGCCTCCATGATAGCCGCATGCGAAAGGGATGTAAACATCTCTTTAATGTCGAATCCCCCGCATATCGTCAGTCTCACCTCCGAATAAGTGAAGCTTCTTCTCAGCTTTCTTCAAATTTTGCTTGAGCGAGGCTGTCGCATTGAGGTTGAAATGTTTTGCTCCTGGGAGCTTCTCCAATAAGTAGTTGAGCGCCCTTGCGATCCAACGCCTGCCTGTCATCGTGGGTTCGCTGTAAGCTGGAGCTATGGGTCGCCACCGTTCAAGATCCTTGTGCTTGGGTAGTACGTACGGACTACCGATCTTCCCCTTCAAGTTCCGGTTCACCAGCTTGTGCAAATCAAGACTTACAAATTTGCGCTTCATCTCCTTCAATGTTTCCGCTTCGCCGCGACTAACCACATCATAGGCTGCACTCCAGGTGAACATTTTGTCCAAGCCATGTTGGTCTGAAGAAGGGCACATCAGCACCAGATCTCCCCCGTTCCTGTCAACCTGCGTAATTACCAGATCCTTATAACGTCTCTTGATGGCGTAGACTACCCCTTCGTCCGCGCCGCACCGTTCATTCCGTTCTGACGAGAACAAGAGCTAGTTTGGAAATCGGGCAATTGCTTATCAAACCAACTCCCAAGCACTGCTATTAGCGCAAGTCGTATGCTGCTGCTGACTTCCTCCCTTGTTGTCTCACACTTGGGGCGGACCACGTTTTTCCCATTGTGAACCAGGGCTGGGAGCCCTGGGACATCGGCTACCCTTGTGATCACGTGGCCACTAACGATAGGTAAGTCATGTTGCTTACACGCACACGGTAACTCTGGTTTCTTACTCAACTGCTTGTAGTTACATACGATCTACGTTACATTTCTATTTCTTCTCCATACTACTCTCGCCTTGCTTTTGAAGATCCCTGCAATCGCGAGATGCAATCCACAACTCTAAATATTTGTGACGAGAACGCTCCTAATGCCACTCTTCCTTACTCTATTCCTGTACCTAACTTGCACAGTGATCTTCTTCCGGATATTCACACAAGCCTTCTTTCCCACTGCCTTACCCAGGAAATCCTTTATCAGTTTCCTCTTTCCCTTCTCTCTAAATGTCCCCGCGCAACTATAGAGATGCATAAGTTTATCTACCGACATGCGCGACAATTCTTTCCGTTTGAAAGGCATCTCCAAGAGCTGCCGCAGGTAACCTTTCCCTTTGTCCCTTGCGTTCTGTGTAATGACGATGGGGGCGATCCAGAAACTGCCTCCCTCCTCAAAACAGGCTCTCAACTGGGCTAATGCTACCTTTCCTGTCTATGTCACGACAGTCAAGGTACCAAACAATTTCTTTACTAGCGACCAGTCTTCCCCCCAGACTCTACCTCCTTCACTAATGATCTGGATCTGCTTCTTACCCTCCTTATAGGCCGAGTCTAGACAAATTCTTAAACCAGTATTCACTAATCGACTACGCGCCATCCAAAAAACGATGATCCGTGCCCGCTCTTCGACCACCCTCTCCTTGCCTTCAACTCTACGCGAGCGCCTTTCCCTCCCAGCCTCTTCTTTGTGTTCCCTTTCTGTTTCATTCGTAGCGTGTTGAGTGACGGTGAGAATCTTTTGAGGAGCGTCTTCTCCAGGCTCTCCAGGCCACTAACTTCTGAGGTAGCAACACGAATAACGACGTATCTACACCAATTAAATTTTCTCAGCCACTTGTAAAGTAGTGGTGCTTTACCGTCCGTACCAGATTCGGTGCATCTAACGTGTTCCGGCCACCGATGTACATCTTTCTACACCATGGCGAGACAAGAAAATAAACCACGGGTTGCTTACAATCGAACCACTTCCAATTTTGTGGAACTATGTCTACGATCTTCCTCGCCCATGGAACCTGGTCCCGTAGTACTAGTAGCACCAAACAAGCGGTGGAGGCCTTCTCAGTCATCAGTCTAAGCTTCAAAACTCTTGTGTGCCCCCATATTGTCTCCCTTAAAGAAAAAAGTACGACAATGTAAGCCCAGATGAATCTTACCGGGGGCACAAACCGTCATTGATCTTGGATGTCTTCTTGTTCTCATGTCTCTTCCAGCAAAACATCGCCATCACCCCATGCCGATCTATTCAACAGCTCCCGAACACCTTGCTCCTTAGAAATGTAGGTTATGTTTCTCGCCTCACAAAGCTTCTTGACTTCACGCCATTCCTTCACCATGAGCTTAGCTCTGATTTCCTGAACATTCTGCACGATGTTCCCCCTGTTGCGAGATGCAGGGGTCTCATTTACGGCGTAGGCGTTCCTTGTGGGCGTGCACGCCTTCCTTCTCAAACTCTTCTCCTAGTCTGCCCTTGACATAACCCTTGCTTCCTCGTCCCAGTCGTCTACCGATGTGAAAGTCTTCGCCGTTCTCTTCCCTCTTGCTCTCTTTGGCGGTATCCTCGCACCATCGTCTGTCAGCACTTCTTCCTCCATCATACAAGTATCCAGCCCACTCGCTAGTACATCTCGGTCTCGTTTCGGTGTCTTGGAGTTCACTGCTAACATCATTTGGATTTCAGTCCTTATCTCAACCCTCAAATTTCGCACATCTCTTGACACTGCCGCTATCGTTCGCAATTCCGCCTCTTCAATCTTTTTGTCCCTTTTGTCGCATTCTTCCATCATTCTTCGTTCGATTTCCGCGAACATCTCCGGATCTTCTCCTCGCGCCTTTCCTCTTCCAATTGTTGTCTTCTTTGTTCGACTTCTGCCTTTCTCTTCTCCTCCTCTATCTTTTCTTGTTTTCCTCTTCCTCCATTTCCTTCTGCCTTTCTCTTCCCTCTTGCTCTCTTTGGCGGTATCCTCGCACCATCGTCTGTCAGCACTTCTTCCTCCATCATACAAGTATCCAGCCCGCTCGCTAGTACATCTCGGTCTCGTTTCGGTGTCTTGGAGTTCACTGCTAACATCATTTGGATTTCAGTCCTTATCTCAGCCCTCAAATTTCGCACATCTCTTGACACTGCCGCTATCGTTCGCAATTCCGCCTCTTCAATCTTTTTGTCCCTTCTGTCGCATTCTTCCATCATTCTTCGTTCGATTTCCGCGAACATCTCCGGATCTTCTCCTCGCGCCTTTCCTCTTCCAATTGTTGTCTTCTTTGTTCGACTTCTGCCTTTCTCTTCTCCTCCTCTATCTTTTCTTGTTTTCCTCTTCCTCCATTTCCTTCTGCATTTTGTAGTCCGCCCACATGACCACTCGATTTATGTTGTCCTCATTCTCCTTCCTCGATTGCCAATACTTCGTGTTGTTCGCAAAGGCTCCTTGTCCCTTGCCCAGCGGACAATCTCTCGCAATATGGCCAACTTGGTTGCAATTAATACAGATGATCGAGCTCCCTGCCCCGCCTGCTCCAGCTCTTGCAAGACCAGTAGGCGCCATTCCGTTACCTTTCACCAGTAACCTTTTCGATAGCTCCTCCATATGGCTGTCTCCGTCCATCCTTCTTCTTACGTGTGATGAAACAGCTCCTACTAACTGTTGTCGATGCAACTAACTTGCTGCTGTCTTCCTGTCACGTGGTCCGTTCAACGTTCTCCTGATTCACGTCGTCGACATAGCGACCGGTGTGAGCATCTCCCCTCATCCGGTTCCCATGTTACACATAATAGTGGAAAACAGTGGCCAACTGCCTTTCGTACACGCATCGAAAGAAGAAGAAGAAGAAGAAGAAGAAGAAGAAGAAGAAGAGTGTGAATAGTGAAAACAGTGGCCAACAGCCTTTCGTACACGCTTCGAAAGCTCTTCAATACATAGCCGCGCATACTCATCTCAGCTCACGCGCACATTCCCGGACGTGTTTCAATCGATTGCGCTCCGATCCTCCTCAGGGGGCTAACCTCTTGACCCTACCTTGCGGCCCGTCGACAATCCTCCCGTCTTACTGAATATAGAGGACCAATACGGCCTTGTCCTCCTATATATTGTGCATCGAGTTGTAAGCCTAGCCAGCACGGTACTCCCATCCCAATGGGCACTTCCACGAGCGACTACGGCTACGACCGGCTCTGTCGCATAGACGTTATGCCGAACTCCGTAATGATCCGTTACGTGTCGGCCCCTCAACGGGCTACCGATAGTCAGTCCACGTAAGTTTCCAATAGTCGACACAATGCCTATCCCTTCAGGCCAGCTTTCACCACATGTTTCACGTGTGGATAGTACTATGCATAGGCTAGGGGCTCTTTTCCGCGGATATTCGCTTCCCACAATCGATCTTCCTACTCTGATTCTATTGGCTTAATTCGTGCAGCATGGATCGCAGCCTCTACTCTTACTACGTGGCTCACCCAGCGTGACCTATACAATTTCAAAATCCAACATGCAGCCAATTTTCCCACTCTTTGGGAATTAGGCGGGCGCAGCCCGGTAACACCGTGTTGTAGCGTGCCAACCAGGCACGTATTTCAAAAAATACCTATAGGAGATCAAATACGAAAGTCCTTATTATTCCGAGCCTGCAAATTTCTATAAAGTCCCTATCCCATCTGCAAATTTCGACCAGTTTAAAAGCGGCCATTTATATGTATTTTCTATTTCTACAGTACTAACGGCCTCGTGAAAAATCCAATTTCTACGCAATAATTATTTACACATCATATTTCCACGCAAATATTTATTTCTACTCAAAATATCTTAATTCTACACTAAAACTCCCCACCAAAACATGGCTATTTCGTAAAATACGGTCCTTATTCAAGGCCACATCTGCCTCAAAGATTTCCAGCCGCGTGCTGCTACCCCATTGTACCAGGTTCTCAAGTAGCCTCAACCATGGCTTCTTGAGAACGCTGGTGCACTTAGCAAAGGTGCTAGGGCATTGAAGAAGAACAACGTCGGGGGATATCCCCGGCGTATGAGCTCGTTCTTCAAAGCTAGAACCTATAGGAATAGAGTAACTCCAATTTCCGCTCACTTGTCCGAGTAGGAATTGAAAACCTGGAACATAGGATGGATAAGTTCCTGCTGCACTCTTCCCATTTGGCTCTCCAATTCGTTCCTGATCTTTGGATCCATCTTCCTGTCTCTTTTGTCGCATTCCTCCATCTTTCCTCTCTCGGACTCAACAAACAATCTTCGAATCTTCTCATTGCGTCTCTCTTCTTCCAATTGCTGTCTTCTCCTTTCGGCTTCTATCCTCCTCTTCTCCCCTTCTGCCTTCTTACTCTCATCTTCCTGCATTTTGTAGTCTGCCCATCTGGCTACCCGCTTTAAGTTATCTTCTTTTTCCTTGCTCGATTGCCAATACTTCGTATTGTCAGCAAAGGCACCTTGTCCATTGCCCGCGGGGCAGTCTCTCGCGATGAGGCCACCGCTATGCGCTCATGCACGTAAGAAGATCGTTACAGAACCATCATGAGCATAACATCCAAAAAATGCGCACATTCCCCGACGCACTTCGGCTGGTTCCGCTCCAGCACCTTTCAAGGGTCAGACCACACTCCCGCATCCACCTAACTTCCCACCACGGATCAAAAAGAGCCAGGGAGAAAGAAGAGAGTGCGGGCCTCGATCCATCACTCTGCGCATGTGAGGAAGAGAAAGCGATGGGGTGTGTACGTCCTCTCCACTTTCTAGACTAGGATCAGCAGACCTTTTTTATGTCAAGGCACTTAGAGAGAGTACTGCGCCGGGAGACATGCGGCTGCCACCTGGCACGCATGTCAGACTTGGATCTGACCACTCAAAATCCAAAAACGACTTTAAGAGACAACGGACTAGCAAAACAAACTAACAAAAAAAGCAAAGAACCAACGCCTAATCCTGCTAAAATAATGACCAATCACGTACGAATACAGTCATATATTCGGGTAAATACAAAAACCAAAAATAGATAGATCCTTTTTCTTTCTTTTTTTTTTCTTCTTTTTTTTTCCTTTTTTTTTATAACCAAAGGTTTTCGCTTTTCGCTGAGGTGTGTGTCTTCAGTGTGGAAACATACAGTAAATCGGCCATTATAAAAGTGTTCTTTCTCGTAAAAAAAATAAAATAAATAAATAAAAAATCGGCCATTGTGCATCGTGACGGCAGAACCGATGAACTTTGCCACCTTCTATGTAAACATGCATGGCCATTTTTTTTCACGTTTCATGAGAAATGCCGCGAGGGTGAGAGCCATACTCCACCACCGTACTCAGCGGCGCCGCTAAGCTCTATCCGTCTTTTTTTTCTCAGTTATCGTCCTCCTTTTTTTTTTTTTTTTTGGAGTCCTCATGTCTGAGCCGCTTCCACAGCTCTACCACAACCTCCATAGGGAATTGCATCCTCCTCCTTTTTTGCCCAATCGGGAATGGTCCCTTTTTGCCCAATCGGGAATGGTCCTTTTTTTCGCAATCGGGAATGGTCCCTTTTTTCCCAATCGGGAATGGTCCTTTTTTTCGCAATCGGGAATGGTCCTTTTTTTCCCAATCGACAATGGTCCCTTTTTTCCCCAATCGAGAATGGTCCCTTTTTTCCCCAATCCCGATCGGAATCACCTTGTTCAATTGAACATTGATTGTAAACTTCGTTTGCGAAACTTGCGTGAGAAATTCAACTCCGTGCTAATCTTCTATTCATCGTTCTAAGTTCAACAGATGTCCAGAAGGACGACAGAACAAAAATCAAGAGAATGGTAAGAGGAGAGGGGGGGGGGGGGCGGAGGGAGAAGGGAACCGAAAAAAAAGAAAAGGTCCACGTACGACGCATGGGCGGATAGCTGAGAGAAGGGGTCCGAGAGATGCAGAAGGTGCACTTGGGAGGGAGGAAGCAGAGGCATGAGTGACGAGTGTTGGGGGGAGCACACAAACGAATGGTGCGGACCACAAAGACAGAGGCGAAGCAGACCTTGCGAGCAGCGGACGATGAAAGCGGTTTGGGGTGAGGAATACAGGAAAATTAAAAAGGAAAGTGAATGCATACCGATACGTACAATGGTCGAGAAACACAAAGAGGTACAAAAAGACAGAGAGAGAGAGAGAGAGAGAGAGAGAGAGAGAGAGAGAGAGAGAGAGAGAGAGAGAGAGAGAACGTTCCGAACGCCTCGGGGCAAGACAATGGGGATGAAAGATGTAAGCGAATCGAAGCATGTGGAAGAAAAGGACGGGATCAAGCAAATCAGAGAAAAGAGGACAAGTAGAGAGAGAGAGAGAGAGAGAGAGAGGGAGGGAGGGAGAGAGAGAGAAGGGGGGGGGGAGAGAGAGAGAGACAGAGAGAGGTAAACCTCCGACGGGGTTTAAGGATCGGGAAAACTTGACGAAACGGGCAGGAGGAGGTGGAGGAGGAGGTGGTGGACACGCCATAGAACGGAGCGAGAGCCTGAAGAGGCCGGCGGACGTAATCTTCCGGGGACAAGGATCACTGAGACTAGTGAAAGAGAAGGGAGCGGGAGACGCAAAGGGCGGGAGATTTATATCTGATTTGTCCTTTTCGTCTGATCGAAAGTCGATTTATATTTGATTTATATCTGATTTATATCTGCCTCATAGTTGGCTTATATCTGAGTCATTATATCTGATTTGTCTGATTTATATACCTGATTTACATCCGATTTGTCTGATTTACAAATCTGATTTACTAAGTATATATGAGCTGCATATCTGATTTAGACACGGTTTATATATCTGATATACACATCTGATTTATATCTGCCAGGAAACCTTACTGAGGGCAGATAGCAGGTCGGAGCAGAAACTATTAGACAAAAGACAAGGACGCCAGTCGCACAACAATCGTACAACGCTTGTAAAAAGTCGCACAACGCTCGATCAGTTATAGATCGTCTGCATTTCCCATTGTACGAGCCGCACAACGCTCGTAGATTGTCGCACAACGCTTGTAGGGAGTGGCAAAACGCTCGATCAGTTACAGATCGTCTGCATTTCCCATTGTACGAGCCGCACAACGCTCGTAGGTTGTCGCACAACGCTTGTAGGGAGTCGCACAAGGCTTGTAGGGAGTCGCACAACGCTCGATCGATTGTAGATCGTCTGCGTTACCCATTTTACAGAGTCGCAATACGCTAGTAGATTGTCGCACAACGCTTGAAGAGAGTCGCACAACGCACGATCAGTAATAGATCGTCGCATTTCCCGTTGTACGAGCCGCGCAACGCTCGTAGATTGTCGCACAACGCTCGATCAGTTGTAGATCGTCTGCATTTCCCATTGTACGAGCCGCATAACGCTCGTAGATTGTCGCACAATGCTTGTAGGGAGTCGCACAACGCTCGATCGGTTATACATCGTCTGCATTTCCCATTGTGCAAGCCCGCACAACGCTCGTAGGTTGTCGCACATCACTTGTAGAGAGTCCCACGACGCTCGATCAGTTATAGATCGTCTGCATTCCCGATTGTCGACTCTTCTACGACGGCGGCGCTCGATAGCAGGACCCGCCCCTTTTCCCGGAGCCGCACAACGCCCGTAGATTGTCGCACAACGCTCGTAGATTGTCGCACAACGCTTGTAGAGAGTCGCACAACGCTCGATCAGTT